AGAAGAATGTTAGAGATGGAGCTACCAGGTAGGAGAAAGAGAGGAAGGCCAAAGAGGAGATATATGGATGCAGTGAGGGAGGACATGGAGATAGTTGGAGTCAGCGTAGAAGATGCAGAGAACAGGGAGAGATGGAAATCAATGATTTGCTGTGGCAACCCCTGAAGAAAAAAAGGGACAAAGCCGAAAGAAAAAGAAGTGTATTGCATTATGTCTTTTATCTGACACTTTGATGTGTGTGTGTATGTGTGTTTGCACCCACAGACACTTAAAGAGGCCAGTGAAAATGCCAGAAAAGATTTCCACCGCGAGGCTGAGCTGCTGACCAATCTTCAACATGAACACATTGTCACCTTCTATGGCGTGTGTGTGGAGAGCGACCCACTCATCATGGTCTTTGAGTACATGAAACACGGAGACCTCAACAAGTTCCTCAGGTCAGATCAGGTTTTTCTTTTTTTGGCTCTATTATCAAGACCTAAAAATGTCACCCAAATGGCAGCAGTTATATTGAAAAAAAAGTCAATTTCTCTTAAATGTCATCACAAAAACCGAGGGATTAACAGCAGACTTATTCATTGATGGATTAAAAATACATTAAAAACCACAGGGCTCATGGTCCAGATGCTGTCCTCATGGCCAAGGGCCAGACCACCCGACCTGTGGAGCTGACCCAGTCTCAGATGCTACACATCGCCCAGCAGATCGCATCTGGCATGGTCTACCTGGCATCACAACACTTTGTGCATTGTGACCTGGCCACCAGGTTTGTAATGAACCCTGTTAATTTGTTATGTCTTTGACTGTATGAAAACAGGTGGGTGTTGTTGGGTGGTTGATTGGGGTCCAGACTATCTTGTAGAAACCGGTTTTAAGGGACCTTGGTATGTGAATCACATACACTCTTTTGTTTATCTTCAGTTTTCTTTAAAATGCTATTGTAATTTGCAAAGTTTAGTGCTGTTACGATAATGTTACTGTAGTGAAAGAACATACAGTTACACAGTTCCTTTCAGCCCACTTTTAGATGAAATGATCACATTTGTGAGGTCAACTTCATCATTAACAGATCTGGATGCTGACCATTGCCATGTTAGCCAAAGGTGAATTTACCCATCATTAGTGACATCTAAAGTACACAATGCAGAGGAGATCAGATATTTGCCAGAAGAGTTCTTTTGTTTCACACTCTACCCATTTCAGCTAGATAAAAAACTTTCTTAAAACTTTCTTTCTGCTCTCGAAGAAGGCGGACGCTTTTTCCCTTGCTCCCTTCCTGCCCTTATCTGCCCTGCTACTGCACTATGTCTTGTACCGTCTCTGTCAAACTATCTCGGAGCCTCTCTCTGCATTTTCCTCCAAAATCAAAATGATGGATCTGGTCAACTGGTCTCTCAACGCAATTGATCAAATTTTCTCAACCATGAAAATGGGTAAAGGAGAACCCGCCTGACCTGACGGAACCTTCCCGGCCGGCTACACGTTGGACTCCTGGGACAGATGGAAGATCGTGTGCCTGCCCGTGCTTTCCGTGGAGGATGTGGAAGATTTGTACCTATTTGGATTTATGATGGCAGGTTTTCTGCTGATTGGCCTGGGCACCTTCCTGTTCCATCGTGAAAAAAAGATGATGCTACAATTGGCAAT